CTGCGTATATAAGCAGAATCGTCCAATACAGTATTAGAGCTCTGAGAAGCGGTCTGGTGGATTAAATTGGCGAAACAACTGGGAGGGTTCACCACTGATGAGCCAAGCCCTCCCAATATATTTTTTCATCGCAGTAAGGACAGTGGAAGTTTTATTATGTATAAAAGAAACATTCGGGCTTTTAAATCCTTTCATTTTATACACATTAATATGTTGTAATACTTTGATAAATGTTGGCGTTCAGCCAACTGAAATATTAGTAAAATAAATTATATTTTGATCCAATATATGCCTTTTTAATTAAAGATTTATTTATGGATGGCTCTATTTTCAATACACCTATCCCCCGATTTACACGGCACTTGTTTTACACGTTTTCGCCTTTTGTTTTTATCGCACTATACAAAATGCTACTGTGATTGAACACATTCGCTGTGTACACATCTCACGAGGAATCCCGAGTTTATGTGCTGACTACATATTTTAACCTTTCAATGCATTTTATTTTTATTTCTGTGTACACCTATCCCCCGATTTACACGTTTTTCTCAGGAACGTATCTACCGTGTAAATCGGGGGATAGGTGTACTAATATATGAGATGGTGGTTACAATTCTTAATCTAAATATACTTACAAATTTAGTATTAAAAGTAAAAAAAAAAAGATGAACGGCACAATTTTATTTTTCTTTATTAAAATTCGATAGGTTTTCGAGCTTATCTCTTCCTCAGTAGGCTTATTGAATATGCAAATAAGGAAACGTTAAATTGTGGAAAAGTACAATTTGTATTCATCCAGATTTCACCTTCCATATGGTGAACAAAACAATTTTTTTTCTTAATTAAAATTCGTCAAGCTTTAGAGCTTATCTCTTTCTCAGTAGGCTTATTTGAGTATGCAAATAAGGAAACGTTGAATTGTCGAAAGTAAAATTTGTGTTCATACAGATTTCACCTTCCATATGGTGAAAAAAGAATTGTAATTTACCATCAAGTCAAAAACAAGATCTATCATTCTAATCTTCTGGGAAAAAAAGGAATTCTTCCGGAACAACGAGTTCAATTATAATTAAAATCTATGATCGCATTAATTAACTTTTGGGATATAATTAAATTGGTTAATTTCTTTCTCTCTCGTTGCTGATATTTTCTCATTTATTTATCATTTTTTCAACTTGGATGGATATGAAGGGATGAGAATTGTGAAAGATTTGTATTTGTTTAATATCGATTTTTACAAATATGTGAAAAATTTTTTTTAAAAAAGGTCAGGTGTTTGGTATCTTATATATATATAAAAATCAATGTTTGTATGTTTGTTTGTTTGTATGTCCGGTATACAAATTCGCAGTAGTTCACTAATTCAAACCAAAATTTCCATACATAGGTAAAAAAAATACAGGGAAGACGATAGGCTATTTTAAAAATATATATATATCAATTATTAAAACTATATATTCAAATTATTCTACTTAGCTCACGAACAGCGCCCTCTATCAAAGATTAGAATAAATTATGCTGATGCAAACAAATAGATAATGCTAATAACAAACAATTATTTTAAAAAAATCCTATCTAAATATATATCACTCGGGTAGTTATGCACACGGGTCAATCCCGGGGCGAAGCCCGGGTCACCCGTCTAGTTTAAAATTAAAAAAAAAAAAGGAATATCCACGTGGAAATATCTTTATTTACGGGGATGCTAATCAGAATGGATGATTTTTGAGTTCAAAAACCTGACCACGTTCACATGAACTTTTTAGATGGTAGAATGCCATCTAGTGGAACAGAAATCAACTAAACGTTGATTTCCATTGAAACCCATTTTCTTGATAAATCAAGAAAAACCAACCATGTACGCGTTTCGGGCTGTTGGCCCTCGTCAGCGTGGGGGAATTTGTGGAGCAGTAGTATAAACTGGTTAGCTTTTCTTGATTAATCAAGAATGGGTATTTGACCAATTCTGGAATAATTAAAAAAACGAGAATAGTTGATATTTATTCCGATAGATGGCGCAAGCCATCAGCAACTTTTAGTTGCACGATAAGGAGATGCCTCTTTTCATAGTAGTATAAACTGTTGATTTTCAACAGATACTTCCCGGGTTCGTATCCCACATTGGATTCTTTTTTTTTTTTTTTTTGAAGAAAAATATTGTTTCAATATTGATCCCCGATTCTTGCAAAAGTCCAACCCCCACTAGTGATTTCAAGTAATAAAAAAGTGGCTCTGACATATTTGTAGGTTTAAAATTTGAACTGTGTACGTTGTGTAAACATGTGGTACATTTACATCGTAGGATGGAATGGCTATCTAAGCTAGTATTGCTTGAACGCGTGTGTGGTACACTTACAATAAACTTACATACTATACACTTACAATATATGTGGTACACTTACAATAAAAGCAGTTTCTACCATGATTATCATAGTTTGTACCGCGTATACTTGGGATGAGAGAATGCATAATGAAACAATATATATTCCACCAATCATTGACAACCATATCATCCTGATCACTGAATTACCATTAACTAATGTTATCCAAACATCGAATTACACCAATACCTCGCTTTGCGTCGTTTCGTTTTGCGTTTTTTTCGAAGTTGCGTCGCTGCTTAATTTTTACTGATTTTTCATTGTGGGTCGTTAGATTTTCGAAGTTGCGTTGTTTTGGATTCGAGTCTTTAATTTTTTTTTCCCTAAAATATGGCAACACCTTTGTTTTTGATTGCGCCATGCCATCAAAATTTTATTTTCACTTTGCGTCGTTTCAATTTGCGTCGTGTTTTTTTGGAACGTAACCCCGACGCAAAGCGAGGTATGGGTGTATTCACATCACCAAGAGCCAACTTCGAACAATACCACAGTCTATAACTTGTATCTCTCCACAAATCAAGATAGTTCAAGCCAAGACAAGACAAGGTGGAATTTAGCGATATTCCTATGAGAGCTTCAAATCGTGAAGTAGGATGTCAGGTAGATCAAACTGGCAAAACTGCTGGAAGGGTTCATCTCTTTCTCTTCTATTCTTCTTATCTTCTTCTCGTCTCTTCTTAATATTCTTCTTTTTTCTTCTTCTCGCTTTTCTTTTTTATTTCCTTCTCTTCTTATCTTCTCTCTTCTCTCCTTATTCTCAACTTATTTTTTCACGTGAAAAAAATAGTACAAAATGTGATATTGTACTGGGATAAGGTGCATAAATTATGAAAAAGGCATCTTCTTATCGTGCAACTGATGAGGGCCAACAGCCCGAAACGCGTCCGTGGTTAGCTTTTCTTGATAAATCAAGAATGGGTATTTGGCCAATTCTGGAATAATTAATAATCAACGAGAATAGTTGATATTTATTCTGATAGATGGTGCAAGCCATCAGCAACTTTCAGTTGCACGATAAGGATGCCTTTTTCTTAAATTATTTTTTCTTCTTTTATCTTTTCTTCTCTTCTTATCTTCTTTTCTCTTCTCTCACTTCTTATCTTCTTCTTTTATCTTTTCTCTTATCTTTTCTTCACTTCTATTTTTCTTCTTCTCTCGTTTATCTTCTCTTCTTTCTTCTTTTCTTTTCCTTCTCTTCTATTTCTTATTCTCTGAAATAGAGCCAGGTTCTCCCAAGAAGACTAGAGAGGACCTTCATAACATCAACCACTCAGAAGATCTAGAGAGGGCGTTTCGAGGGGCCACAAACATCAGCCACCAAATCACCTACTATAAAGACTCCACGCAGTAAAATACAATAAAACGTCAATCAATGTAGACCCGGAACTACGTGTTTTGGGCCATTACGTTCCCAGGACGTTCGCAGGGATTTCAATAGGGAAGTCACAAAGCTTCACTTCAGGGAGGCACGTGTCAGGAGGGGTGTGCGCTGCGGTGTGACCCCCCGAGCTACCCACCCCCTCACCTCCTTCCTACAAACTCCCATCATCCAGAGATGATCGTCCAAACCCTCTACTTCAAACCCGATATACCCACCAAACCCTCTACTTCAACCCCGATATACCCACCAAACCCTCTACTTCAACCCCGATATACCCACCAAACCCTCTACCCAAATTCACAGAATGTATTAAGTGCTTCTTCCCAGAAAATCGGTCAAAGCGCTGGAAGACTGACTATCGTTTAACTTGTGATCTATGTAATATCAGAATACAAGACGAAATCATCCATACAATTTTTGGTTGCTTTTACTTGGAGAAACAAAGAGGGGAACTCTTGGGTGATTTTTCCTTGTCTCAATCCGATAGTCAACAAATTTATAACTGGATGAATGCATTGACGTTTGATCAAGGTCTTTTTTTTTTTTTGGTTTATATAAAATATCTAAATTTTATGAACTCAAGTCATTGTATTGTGTTTTCTCTTTTAGGAAAGCTTTCGTTTCAGAAAGCTAGAGATTGGTGATTTAGAAATTTAAAAATAAACGTATCCCTAGAAAATTAAGAAAAAAAAAGGGAATCTACTCATTGTGTGACTTAGTTACACGATAAGGAGATGCCTTTTCCTTAATTTATGAACCTTATCCCGGTACAATATCACATTTGTACTATTTTTTTCACATTATTTCTGGAAGTTTGATGTTTTACGTTACCATTGATACAAGGGATTGTTTTGTGATGGCGCAGAAAAGAGAACACTACGCATGCGCGGGTGGTATCCGGGACTCTGGCCACGCGCGTCATCAACAACAAGGCTTGCTTCCAACGACCGTTACTTCTTTTCTCTTTATATATTTCTGGCTTCAAATAAATTAATTTTAATTATAATTTTATCAGCGGCCTTTCTACAAGCCACACCAACACCGCAAGCAATCATCTCACAAAATGATTGAATCTGTATATATGATAAAAACGACATTTTAAAATTATTCCGCATGTGTTTCTTTTCAACGAAAAATCCAAATTCATTTCAAGGAGAAATAATGATTATTTCTAACCTTAGAGATAAGGTATGAAAAGATGAATTGTGAAGAGTAATGATAAACGGAAAAATAAAAGTATCCAGGGATGGGAATCGAACCCACAGTGTTCCGCTTACCGGGCAGATGCTATATCTACTGAGCTACCCTGGACATATTTTTCCGTTCGTAAATAATACATAATTTATAATACAATACAATATAATGTATTTTAAAATGTCGTTTTACAATCACAAGCCGCATTATATTATATTGTAATATATTTTCAAGAAGCTCCATCCAGATGGGACACCTGTCAATCATCCCTGGACCCCGGGGGAGGACCACAGGTGTGAGGGGTTCTCGGAAGCTGATCTGTAAATAAGGAAAACGGGACGGTGGCTGACGCCGCTCATTATTATTATCTTTACTTGGGGATAAGTTGTTATATTATCTGACTCTCTCTCCCTTAAATACCTCTTGTAAATAATTTTTATTGGAGAACTAAAAGGTTAATTATCTTCAATTTTGCCCTTGCTTTATTTATCTCGGCGACAATATGATGATATTGTAGGAAGGCCGGTTGTATGGATCCGGTAATGGGGGAAAGGTTCATCATCAAGTGGAGCTGGAAGATTGTGTCCCTAGGGAGACCGAAGAAGCTTTCTCCCTCCCAGATTTAATCATGACAATATGTATCTTCTGCTATATCGATGGATCCATTACCTTTCTGCTATTCTTAACTTCTGCTATTCTTTCTTTCCTCTTCTTCTATCCAGCCAGCCAATCACAGAGCGTTTAACAGATTAATCTGTATTTTAATGAAAGCTTGTGTATATTCTCATCGTAATACTGTTGATTGGTAATGGCTTGTTGCTATCTAGTAGTAAAAAATACCTTCTTATCGTTTTTTTGTTATTTACGTACATTTGTAAATATATTTTTATTATGTGAATTATAAACAACTATGTACGCGTTTCATTTTGTTTGTCCTCGTCAGAGTGGTGCAGACTGTTATGTTGAAAATCCATCCATCAAGAATTTCTTCACTCTCTCTTTATAATTCAAGAAATTAATGCCCTCATGGACAAAAAGTCTTCGACGCAGGCCATCAGCAACCTTTAGTTACACGATCAGGAATTGCCCTTTTTCTCATTAATATATATATATGTGGCAATATAGTGGTAATAATGTGGTAAGGAGAGAAATAATCACACGACGAGTTGGTAGAGCAATAACCCAGGCAGCCAGCCGAGAGAGAGAGAGGGAGCGAGGTTCTATGCGCTGAACGGCCGTTTGTCGTGTGTGGTCACCCCCCCGGCTATCTGTCCCCAGGTGTTGACGGGCGGGCCCCTTTTGCCCCCCCCCCCCCTTTGGAATGTCGTGATGTCTAAAGTGTCTCGCTTTAGCTGCCCACCTCTCTCTCGTTGACTGTAGGTTTGTTTTATTAATCCTGGAAGAGCATATATTATGACATATATATATATAAGAACAAATATATACATAGCGTTAGAATATGATTATAATTTAAATTTGAATAGTGTAGTATGTGTGTGTGTGCTGGAGACGACCTACCTGTTGGGGTATCGTCCCGCTTGCGTTTGGCCGAGGGTTCAGGAGGCTGGGCCGCTAGACCCAGGATACCGTTGATGGAGTAGGACGGACGGTCTCCCGAGGAATGAGTGGGGCTACCCCCGGCACTGCCGCCCGCGTGGACATGCTTGGCTTTCTCGGCGGCCTTGTTCCTCACGATCCTTGAAACACACAGACTTCTCTTAGACCATCTCTCTGTGTTTACGTCAACTCCGTCAGCAAGTAACCAAACAAAACTATGATACATTATCGCATCATCTGTTATAAAGAAATTCAAACTATTTTTGACGATTCTTTTTGAAATAAAACTGTTTACTACTGCCCTTACTGCACACAATAATAAAATAATGGAAGGGCCTCCTGACTCCTCAATGGTGGAATCTTTCAGCGATTTCGCCAGTTTATCATACCAATGTAATACACAGCTGAATACAATATTACAAAATAACAAAAATTCTTTGCCCAAAGATCCAAGATTTACTTATTCGAATAGAAAAGTTTTGTTGACTTAATCACGAAACATTATTATGAGTAGAAAATAGAATTTACAAAAATAAACATTTCCCTGACACAGCAAGTCAATGAAAGGTCAGGAACTAGATAAAAAATTGGTTGATATATGTAGTCATATCTTTTACCATAAAAAAATCTATTGATTGTTTTTTATAAATATATTTTTTAATAACTGTTGACTTTGCTTAGAATTTTTAATAAACTGATTCCAATAATTATTAATTAAACATTATATTTATTGATTTACAAGAGAGAGAACAAAATATAAAAAAGGGAAACTAATATTAAACAAAGGATTTTTTTTCTTTTCGGTTAGCGCCTATTTACCTGTGGGCTTACACACACTCTGTGGTAACAATTAATTAATATATGTACAACAATAACAATGGAGATATATGAGTATCATGGTAAGGTTGGTGCGACTCCAGAAGTCTCTTTAACCCTCCTATCCTCAAAGCGACAAAACATCGATTTTGTAATTTGTAGTACCGCCGAGACCGTCTGATAATTATGTTCCATCAGTTTAATTAAAGTTGGATAAAATCATGGTTGGAAAGACAGTGTGTGACAAACTTTGTCACATCTTTGTCTATTGTAACACAGGCTACTGTGGGACAATATGTACAACCTGACTGAACATATTTAGTTACTGCCATATATTGTATATATTTGATTGATTTTATATAGTTTGTATTGAAATGGGGCAAAAATAATGACCGATTTCATATTGAGGTTACGCTTTGCAGGTACGATACGAGACCACGGTAAGAGGGTACGGTATGGGACTACGGTAAGAGGGTTGGGTTCGAAACCACGGTAAGAAGGTAGGGTTCGAAACCACGGTAAGAGGGTAGGGTACGAGACCACGGTACGAGGGTAGAGTTCGAGGGTAGGGTATTAGACCACGGTACGAGGGTACGGTATGGGACCACGGTAAGAGGGTACGGTATGGGACCACGGTAAGAGGGTACGGTATGGGACCACGGTAAGAGGGTACGGTATGGGACCACGGTAAGAGGGTAGGGTACGAGACCACGGTAAGAGGGTAAGGTATGGGACCACGGTAAGAGGGTTGGGTTCGAAACCACGGTAAGAAGGTAGGGTTCGAAACCACGGTAAGAGGGTAGGGTACGAGACCACGGTAAGAGGGTAGGGTACGAGACCACGGTAAGAGGGTAGGGTACGAGACCACGGTAAGAGGGTAAGGTATGGGACCACGGTAAGAGGGTTGGGTTCGAAACCACGGTAAGAAGGTAGGGTTCGAAACCACGGTAAGAGGGTAGGGTACGAGACCACGGTAAGAGGGTAGGGTACGAGACCACGGTAAGAGGGTAAGGTATGGGACCACGGTAAGAGGGTTGGGTTCGAAACCACGGTAAGAAGGTAGGGTTCGAAACCACGGTAAGAGGGTAGGGTACGAGACCACGGTAAGAGGGTAAGGTATGGGACCACGGTAAGAGGGTTGGGTTCGAAACCACGGTAAGAAGGTAGGGTTCGAAACCACGGTAAGAGGGTAGGGTACGAGACCACGGTAAGAGGGTAAGGTATGGGACCACGGTAAGAGGGTTGGGTTCGAAACCACGGTAAGAAGGTAGGGTTCGAAACCACGGTAAGAGGGTAGGGTACGAGACCACGGTACGAGGGTAGAGTTCGAGGGTAGGGTATTAGACCACGGTACGAGGATACGATGCGAGGGTAGGGTACGAGACCGTGGTATGAGGGTACGGTACAAGACTAGGGTAGAGGCGCGGCGGACGTGATCCTCCCATCGATTGATGGGGGTCATTAAGAGCCGCTCAGGTTGTATCGAGGGGCCATCGGTCCCTGGGGCCCGGGCTCGAGGTGTGGCCGCTGTCTAACGACCCCCTCCCTCTCTACAATCAATGACGTCTCGTTCTTCCTTCACTTGACGTCAATCCTGACACCATATGGGCGAATTTCCTGACACCACATGTCCTGTTTAGACCTTCCTGACACCACATGTCCTGTTTAGACCTTCCCATTGGCTTCTACCATCAATATCATCCTCTTAACTCACAAATTTGAATGCATTTCAGCCTTTATAGTTATTTTTAAAATATGAATCGAACATTTTTGCTAGGATCTCGACAAATTCTTCGACATTATCATCAAACATGTTCCGAACATGAACTCCCCAAATGGCAGGGATCTGTCTAGATTCAAGGCGACTTTAAGCTCCTGATCCGGACGTGCCCTCGGAGAGGGCTACGTCGATTGTATATATCTCTCTTCATTCCTACCATTATTATTACCTTATAACTCCCTTTGAGTGTAAAGATTGACGAGATATCAATAAAGTTGTTTAATTGTCAATTGTCATCTTTGCTAGGATAAGTAATTTCCATATAAAATGATGCCAGGATGAATGCTGGCCTCTAGTAGTAAGATATCAATGTATCTTTAATACAATTAGAACGCCCATCGGAATTGAGAGATAACATATTGTGAAATTACAATTAATGAAAATAAGGAAGGCTTTATGCATTCTGAAATAATGGTCCAAGATACCTTTGATCGAGCTAGCATAATAGAAAAACAATATTTTTAATCATTAATATCATTCTAAGTGGATTCGATTTATGACGATCATGTAAGGTTATCTGAAATTGGGGTACATTCTGTTTGTTGAATAAATTGTTATATTGAATTAAAGGCAATCTATTATGAAAAAAGGCATCTCTTTATCGTGAAACTGAAAGTTGCTGATGGCTTGCGCTGGCATTGGTAGCCATCAGCAACTTTCAGTTGCACGATAAGGAGATGCCTTTTTCTTAATTTAAGCACCTTATCCCAGTACAATATCATATTTAAAAATAAAAAAGGCATATCCTGATCAGGAGCATATGTGCTTTACAGAAGGCAGTGCGCCATCTGGTGGAACAGAAATCAACTAAACATTGATTTAACCTGTTCCCTGATATTTGGCCAACCCAATTTCTCGATAAATCAAGAAAAGCCATCCATTTGTGCTATTTTTCTCAAAAGGCAATCTATCTTATTCATACAAACACTTTTTTAGGCAATTTTGTCCGATTCCATAACTCCTT